GATAATTTCTCCCAATCGAAGTTTTGTTCGGGAAATAAATTTAATAATTTCGGAATAGTGTATCGGAGCATTTGTGTTCCGTAGTTCGTTCTGGGAGTGACCACCTCCCAACAGCTCGCAGAATGAGTGGGATAAGGATGAACATATTGGGAAAGGCGTCCAAGGCTCACTAGAAAGCTAGTATTTCTAATTTCTTCCACTTTTAGAGTAGTGGAAAGTCTGTAGTCGTAGAGAGAATATATACTAATAATGTGGAACTTCATGAATAGATTGGCTGTAGGATGATCAAAATCTACATTTGCAATTGCCCTCATGGCTTTTTTTTGCAAAAAATTTATTTTATCAAGATTTGATAATGTCGTCTTACCCCAGACTAGGTGGCCGTAAATTAAATGGGAATAGAACAAGGAGTTATATATTAATAATTTAACATTTGTTGGCAGTACATAGCGGTTGCGGTTTAGGATACCGACAATCTGTGATAACTTCGAGGTAACATAATTGATGTGATCGTCCCAAGACATATTCTCGGAAAAAGTGACACCAAGCAGTTTAAAAGCATTGACAATCTCAATCCTGGTTGAGTTTATTACGATATGTTTGGTGATATTTACAAGTTTGCTCTTGGGACGAAAAAGCACGGCTTTTGTCTTTGCAACGTTTATTTGTAGCGAATTGATGCGGCTCGAGACGTTCAACTTAGAAAGCGCCAGGTTTGCCGATTCGAACAGCAGATCAACGTTTTCCGCAGTGAAAAGTAAAGTGGTGTCGTCGGCGTAGTTTACAAACTTTGCTTCGGAAGTAATGTTAACAATATCATTTACAAATATATTAAAAAGAAAAGGACCCAATATACTACCTTGTGGGACACCAGAAATAATCGGTTTTGTAGTTGAGGAGTGCCCATCAATACAAACAAACTGCATTCGGTGTGCCAGGTAAGATTTTATTAACTTCAGTGCGTGCCCTCGAATACCGTAGGTGTCTAGTTTTTCAATTAAAATTTTATGACTTATGCAATCAAATGCCTTTGTGAAGTCTACGAAGATACCAAGAACCATCTTCTTTTCCTCGAAGCTTTGAAGTATGTGTTCTTTCTGAACAAGCAGAGCAGATTCCGTTGGCTTTTGTTTTACGAAACCAAACTGTGAGGCTGTTATTAAGTTATACTTATTAGAAAAGTTAATTAGTCTTATATGAAGCAGTTTCTCGAGTATCTTCGAAAACACAGGTAGTATCGAAATTGGCCTATAGTTTCCCATATCGTTAACACTCCCTTTTTTATGTAGGACGGACACCTTTGCTATCTGCATACGTTTAGGAAATACACCTGTGGTAATACAAAGATTAAATATATGGGTTAGTACTGGCGCCAACGCATGAACAACATGCTTCACTGGCCTTATCCGACCCCTTCTCCAAAAATGGACGCGGTGAATTCAATATGCGCGTCATCAAATCTAGCTTCATTTGCTCCCACTCTTTGAAAAAACGAAAACCGCATGGCATTCAATCTTCGCACTGAATTCCCCAACGGCTTAAACAATAGACTCATCTTAGGCTATTAATACTTGCACTCTTTCCTCTGGAGCCGCACCCCTCTACCATTCTCCCACTCTCCCTCGTTTCACCGACCTCCCTTTCCCTACCAGTCCTGACCCTCGCGGTTTTTCTTCCTGACACTCGTCTACACATCCGGTTGTTGTTCTGCTGTCGTGCTTTCCCCTTTTTGTTTTGCTTGTTCGTTATCCTGGCGTCATGTTCCGACAGCCCTCGCGTTCTTTTCCTTAGTTTTCCTTAAACGGACCATGAAATGACCTTTTTACTTTTTCCAGATAACTTTTACATTCAACCGTCAATGTTCACTGAATGCCGAACAGGCATCCGTTTTCGTCTCGGTTTATTAACTTCTACACAAAAAATTATTGAAATATCGACTCTTTCATTCTCTCCAACTGACCGCAAAAGAAGCCGTGACGTAGGCCGTTTCCGGAACCGGAAGTTCTCTCGGCAGTAGGAGAATGGGAGTGTTAGCGGCAACGAGTTGGGGTGCGCCGGTAGGTTTTACTGCGCTGATGTCACCGACGTATTTCCTGAATCGGCGCCTCTCATCGCCGCATCGCAGCTGAGCGAAATTCAATGAGATATGTTGCGCTACAGCGACAGCATGGGACTAGTCCCATACGCCGGTATGCCTGTTGGGAAGTGCAGCGAGTCTTCCGGTGAAGACTCCAGAAGTCAATTACCCCGTCATTGTTGGCAGAAGGGCCGGCCCGTGTCAGTCGTTTGCAAAGCGACGTAGATGGCGTTTTTCGCGGCCTCGGACATGCAGGAGCGAGCCGACGTTAAAAAAGATACATTTGAACTACGAGTGTCAGCAAGAGCCACGTAAATACCTGTTTACACTCGGAGCGGACGCGCGCGCTTGATGGAAGTCTTGTATTCGCGCTGTTTGTAAGCGCTTCGGGACCGTTCTTTTACGATTGCAACTCGATACTGACGTGACACTCGGCAAAGAAGGTTGGACCGGGGTTGTACGTATACCTCCCACGAACTGTTATAGCTCGACAGTGACGTGCAATCTGTCAGAATAAAAATGGCATACCAATAACAAAGTGTACATACCGTGTTACGAAGGTAATCCATACTGCGTTTATTTCAGCTCTATATCACACAAAACAAGAAGATAGAATCGACGAGAGTCCCTTTTCGACGAGTGTTCGTCAACACTGCCTCGGAAAACAAGGGGAAGAGATTGACCTCACCTCTCAATCTAGAATTGAGGTCAGTGATCAAACTATAATACGGGAAGGGTCCACAAGGGTCGCGCGGGCATATTCCATTTAGCACGCCAGCCGATCGTAGGCAGACGGTCTTGCGACGAAGCAACGCAGCGCCGAGTCGGAATGCCTGCTAGGCCTATACGCTTCATCGGAGTCGGTGGATCCAGCGTTCTTGTTCGTCGTGGTCTGTTTTAAGTACTGTTTTCTTGCTGCTTGAAGTCGGCACGCGCGGGAAGAACACATAGAAAAATAAACGTTCAGTCAGTCAGAGTTTTGAGAGGAAGGAAAACAAAGAAAATAAATGTTCGTCGCTGGCCGCCACCCAAGTAACTGTCGGCCCTGCCCTACTGCGCACGCGCAGTAGTTGCTTCGTTTACCACACGATAGATGGCGCCTGGCTCTCAGCATTATCAAATTTGGCAATTTTCGCCACACATCTCTAATTATGCTACAAAATGTGGATCTGAATATTATTTAACAAAACTTTTAGGAAACATTCGCCGGCTATTTATTGTTTACGATCGCGGTGCTGGTGAGGTAGGCTCTTACCCAATAGGCGACCTGGATTTGGCTGACGTGCTCCATTTCCGCGGATGCATCGTAGTGAACAAGCGAAGGAAGGAAGGCGCAAAAGAGTCCAGTTTTCTTTTAAAAGTTCTATAGCAAATAATTTTTTTTGACTCCCTATTTTTGTGTTTTTGTGTTTCTTTTCACACCTTTTACGACGTGCGGTGGATGAAACTCGATTTTAAAATCATTTCATGGTCCCTTTAATTTTTTCTGTGAAGTCCATTTCCCACTTTCTTTCATTCCCCTGTTCTTCCCCATTCATAGCAGTTGTAACCCTCTTCCCGACCTTCGTCACCCCATCTGGTTGTTGTTTGCTGCTGTGCCCTTTTCAGCGTTTTTTGTTTTTGCTTTATCTTGTGATGTCATGTTGCAACAGCCCTGGCGTTCTTCTCCTTAGATTCCCTCAGTTTCCACACAGTCTGACGAAGGGCGTGCGCCCAAAACATCGCTTCGTTTCCTTTCACCTTGTTTTTGCACATCTTATCTCTCATGCTTTTAGTTTTGTGACTATTTCTACTTGCCTGGAGCACCCCACCCTTGAAAGCAAACCACGTGAAAATAAGGAGCACGCTAGCTTTCGGTTTGCGATAAAAATAAGTTAAAAAAATGCTAGTTTTAGATTCTCTAACCTAGGAAGCTTACGATTTAAAGCAGTAAAGCTTCACTGCTTTAAGGGGGGACACTACCCAAAAAAGTAAATTTCTAAACCACTTGTCTGATTTAAATTATATTTACAGGGCTTGTTTCTGTTGATGTTGAGAACATTTCTGCCAATTTTTGTTATCCTGGGTGAAGTACAAAAAAAATTGCAAACGTTCAAAGACGAAAGTGGCCGTGTCTGCTTAGGAAAACTATCGTTTTGAAATTACTTATAAATTTGTCGTTTTCATGTCTTACATTGCATTAGGAGAGTTCAGAGTAGATAACTATGGAGCTATATTTCTATGTTATACCATCTTTCATGACAAAAAAAGTCACATAAGCACAAATACAGTTTCTTAGATTTCCATCCTTTGTCCAAAATTTTAGTTTTTGAGCATGAAAAATGACAAAAATAAAAAATACAAGCTCATAGTTATCTTCCCCTTTAAATTTCACCCCAGAAAAACTCATAAAAATGAATCCAAGTTATGTTATAACAAAATGATAGTTTTCCTAAAGTGAAATTTATGTCAGAAAGTGGAATGGAGAAAAACAGAGTGCTCCAACCTCTACCTTTTCTTTAGCATTGGTGAACTGAAAATAATTTATAAAAAATTAACTATACAGTACAATCTAATGAAACTTTCTGGGAATACTCTCTAGATGTTTGTGGATGTAAATATGACATTTTTCAAAATGAAAGTTTTTTTGCAGAAATTGTTTTTTCTGGGTAGTGTCCCCCCTTAAACATTAGGGGTTCCACCAGACCTCTGCACCGGTCCTACATCATTTCGTCGGGACAACAAAGGGCCAAGAAAGGGCCTACCCTACCACGCATCTCTTCTCCTTTTCCACTCTCAAGCCAAAGATATTTCCACCCTCATTTTTAGTGATAACCTCAAACTTTTAGGTGGGCACTTGCTCGGTATACTACGGCAGTCCGGAAGATATGGTGAATGACTTTTGAGGGTGATGGAATGACTTAGTGAAAGCCCAAGAACCCACCTGGAGGGCTTGAGTTTGCCCTTCTGTATCTGTGCCTTGTTGTCCCTCTTGTACTGCTCCACCTTGCGGCGCGTCGCTTCCACGTCCACCTCGTTGGCCAGGTTGAAGATGATCGTCTCCACCTCCTCCAGGTAGTCATTGTACGCTCGCAGCGTCTCAAAGTCCTCCTCCCGCTTGTTGTAGTCCTGCAAGGGCCAATCGCGAGAAACGTTACCGCACCTGCACGTCTAAGAGTCCTCCTTGCACTTGTTGTAGTCCTGCAAGGGCCAATCGCGAGAAAGATCACAGCAATTTCACAATGGACCATTTCGGAAATCAGCGAGAGGGGTGCCTGGGGTATCTCGACGACTGCTGCTGCTTTGTCAATCGACAAAAACAATGGAGGGCGACGGAACTTCGAAAGAAATGCCTATGAAGCAGCCCTTACGCTTTCCTTCATTTCTACCTTAAAGGACGACGACCAATTCATGCTTTACACTTTTCCCTTGCTTCCTCCTCTCTCCCTTTCTACCATTGTCTGTTTCTTCCTCCCCCTTGACCCCCTCGTCCCCTGCTCTGCTAAGCCCACGGCGGCTAAGCCGTAGACTCCAATTAGAAAAAAAAAAAAAGGATTACGATACAAAAGAGCAATTCCAACATGATTGTCCAGCAGCCTTAAGTTTGTGCGTTAGAATGCCGTTGGCATCAATGCAGCTTTTTAGTCAGCAAGCCGTGCACTGGTATTTCTTTATATGTTCCCCTTCGAGTTTTTACTTGTTCTCTTCGGGGGGGGGGGGGGGGGAGAGAGAGAGAGAGAGAGAGAGCTTGCTAAGTACGACTGGAAGCCGCGCTTTGTTTTTTACTTCTTCATTTCGTTTTATCGAGGAGATATCCACAATTCTTTTTAATATTCTCTGCGCATGCGCAGCCTCACGCAGACACTGGTTCGAAAGTTGTAAGTATGAAAACACGTGATTGCACGTTCGAGTGAAATAAGACACGGCCTCCCCAGAAGGGAAAGTTAGATCCTGCTTCCTAGATGCAATAGCCTGTGAGTGATTGAGTTCCCCCACTATATCCCTTGTACATATTGAGGCTCATCTGCAGCTTATCTTTTGCCCCCACCCCTCGTACAAAGAAGCTTCTTCACTCTTCCTTCCATATGGCCCTCAAATTTTCATACCAATGCGTTCCGATCCAGGCTTCCAACAGGGGGCAGCAGTTATTTAAAACAAAAGAAAAACATCAATTCATGTTCATTAAAAATTGCACTGATCAAAGAAGCATCTAGCAAAAGACGTACCGCTCAACGCGAGAAACAAACTTGGTTCTCGTTTCCTGGTTCTGGAAGCTTCCTTCGCTAATCCTCCGGTGCACAGATTGTGGCGTGTCCCTTGTAGGGGTACCCTTTTTACTGGCTTATCTCCATTCACATACTCGCACAATGAACACCCCACCCCCAATCCGTAAGGGCGCGCGCGGACTCGTGCTTGGCTTCTTTAGTCCCTTTTCTCCATCCTTCGCTTCCCTTGCTCGAAGACGTGAAAGGAGGAAAAGCCTTGCAGAATATCAAGTTTGGTAGGCGGCCTTTAAGGGGCCCTGCAATCACCTTTTTTGCTGTTTCCACATCTCTTGTGGTTTGGGCAACCCAGCGGGCACGAAGAGAGTTGCCAAAAATCAGTGCGTCATATTTTGACCAGACGATGCGAAAACCTCCTCCTCCTCCGACAGAGACGCCCCGTGGTGCCAAACGTGCGCAGTATGTGACGAATTCGCGACATCGTCGGTCCCAGTCCGCTCCTGCCTTGCGACTAAGGGCTATTTTTTAGTCAAAATACAAAATATAAGTGGCACAAACTGTTTCAACTATGTATGAGAGTAGTTTTTGTTCAGTATTTTAGATGCGAAAAGAAACAAATGCAGTTTAGAAAGCACGGAAACGAGAATCAACGCACAATGACCCATCGACATACCCGCCACCAAGCAGTTCAAGACGTGGCGCAGGTCAGCGCAAGCACTTCCGCGGACCCTAGCAGACGACGCATGACGCCGGCAGTACATTTTGCAAGAAGCAAAAGTATCTGTCTCCTGTGGTCTCGCGCTTGGAACTTGAGCGTCGTCGAGTTTCGGGCTAAGAGGCCTTGCCAGCGTGCTCTGGACAATTACGAGGAGTGTCCTCGTACGGTACTACTCCCACCTCCGCACTTCTATCGAGGATTCGGAACTCCAGCTCCGACAGACCCAGTAAATCCATGCCCGCAAGAGCGGTGGCGGGCTGAAGCAAGCAACAATGCGTTGACGAGCGTGCGGCTGCAGGGGAAGCAGCCATCAACATAAGCCACAGCCGATCGGCCAATCGCTTCGCTTCTACCATTGGCCACCCAAGCCAAGACCAAGGACGTCGTGAAAAAGGTTATTTTTTGTTTGTTTTTGTAATTTTGATTTGCCTATCGCTTTTAAAATAAAGCAAATTACGAGAACAGAAAAGTTTCATTAAGTTACTACGTCCGGTTTGCTCAGGTTTGGTGCAAATTAAAAACCAGTCAAGAAGTCGTTGCAGGGCCCCTTTAAGGGGAGGCGTGTCTTTAGAAGCACCTCTATTTTGGCCTTGAAATTAGGAGTATGCCTAAAGATGTACGACACCTTTATTTTTTTTTTCTGGAATTTATTTACAAAAAAAACGTCTTCACGACCTACCATTTAAAATATTGCAAGTAAAAAATGAACAGCACCTCCCCCTCTCTGCACCTTAGCCATGCACGTCGCCAGGGGGGGGCCCAAAGGGCCCAGGCCCCCCCCCCCCCCCCCGCCCAAAAATCTTCTATTTTGCTGGGACCTCCTCTCCCCCCTCCCCCTCAAACAGCATTTTGTCATGGGCAAACCCCCTTCCCCCCCCCCCCCCAATGCAAAATCCTGGCTACGTGCCTGACCTTAGCACAAAAAAAGGCAATGTGTTATTCGTTTACATTAAACAAACCAATAAAAAAAATTTATGTGAAAAATTATTTTTAGGTGTTTGAGTGAAAATATTTTTTCCAGGGCATGATTGCGCACCCATACACTCCCCACTTAGAAGATTAAAGGGGCCGTGCAACAATAATGGGCTGGGATGTTTTCAACTTCCCACAACCGTGTCATGCGTACACAGCATCCCTTCAAGTCCCACCTTGAGGATCTTGCGGCGTATGTCCACCTCCTTCTCGACCCCGGCGTCCTCGAAGATCTGCACCCGGAAGTTTCCCCTCCTCAGGGGCACGTTGCACTGGGGGCAGGAGCCAGACCCCTTGACAAAGAGCAGCTCCACGCAGTTCTCGCACAGCGCGTGCCCGCACACGTTCACCATCAGCTTCAGCGATGGGTTCCGGTACTTGGTCGTCCGGCAGCGCGGGCACGCCAGGTCGTCCATGACTGCTGGAATCGGCACGCGGGGCATATAAGAAATGTCACTGCGTGCATAAAAGAGTTGGCAACACACGCGGCTGCCACGCACAGGAACAGGGCTCGAGCCCCGCTCAGCCTAGTTCTTTTCTTTTATCAACCAATGTTCTCCTGGAAAGTTAAAGCCAATTCTTGGCTGTCATCGTGTGTTCTGGTGCAGAACATTCCCAAATGTACCGCACGTATAAGAGCAGCGGTGACGTGCTGCTTCAGGACAGTCACCCTTCCTTCGCCGATGCAAAATGCTGGTACCTTTCTTTTTAAGTTTGTAGGCACGAGTTTGCCTCATTAAACATTTATTTTCAATTTTACTATCATCTGCCTGCTCATTTTATTCGTGACAATACTAGTAGGGTGGCTACGGTGGATCCTAGGCTAAAATAGGAGCCGGAAGAACCGGCGCATGCACATAGAAAGCCCAAATATTCAGCGAATACGAATCTAGATGGTGCATTTCAGCTGACAAACTTTAAGGCGTAGCTCCTTTTTTGTGGAAAACAAGACCAACAAACTTGCCGAGGTCGACGGTGGGCAAGTTTGCATTTGACAGGGTTAACGATGCTCGCTGTCGGCTCGCCGCACCTGTCGGGAGATGGTGCCACGCGTCATAAGTATCGCTAACTTGGTCGTCTGCAAACCAGTCCACCATTGATCTAATTTTGCGCAGGAAGAGAGCTACGCCTTAAAATTTCACCAGCTAAAATGCACCATCTCAATGTATATACGGTGAATGTTTGGCCTTTCTATGTGCAGGCACGAATTTTTCTGGCTTGTCTTACGACGCAAGATTTACTGTCCACCCTATTTGAAGTACATAGGAGTATTTACAGCATATGGTGCTGTCCTGACTATAAGTATTACTTGCGAGAGCTTGTTTTTTCAGTCCAATTTAGGAAAAGTAATTCTGTTGCATGTTCGCTTAAACAGCGGGAAGTCAGCCCCAATGTGCGTCTGTTGTCTCAGCTGTAGATGAAGAATTTAGCCAGTGCAGTACGACCGCTAGCCCGGGGTCTTTAACGTGCACCATGCAGCAGTGATATATGATCGCACACCGGTACGATACTCATCCAGATCGAAACAAGCAGGGATGGGGATCGAGCTCAGTATCCTCGGGTTCTGCAGGATGAGCTTTCGCTTGTCATGCTCCATGCTGTAGCAAGTTAACATACTCGGCCACTGATCCCCCTTTCCAGGTTAGATCATTGCATATTGCTTCGCAATATATCCATTTTGTTCATAGTTTCTTTCATGCTGACTCATGTTTCCTCTATATTGTTAAGACATATCTTGCAACCAGTATTATTACTGTTTACATATGCTTTTTCCAATTCCTGTCTTTTGATCTTTTTTTTAATATTTTTTAAGGTATCACTGGTTTCCTTGCACATCTTTGCATTCTACTCTATCTTGTAAATACCCCTCCCCCCTCCCCCAGGTTATGCCCTTGAATGGGAATATGAGGTATTATAAATGATTAAATAAATAAGAGTATGCAAGAAACGCATGAGGTAGATAAGGGCATAGAAAGAAGGTAGTTGAATACATGCAGTAGTCAAGACTTTGAGACGATGTCTGTCCCTCTTTTTGTTTTCTCTTTGAGACGACGTCTGTCCCTCTTTTTGTTTTCTCTATCACTTTAGTTTTCCTCGCATCCCAGTCTTGGGTTAATATCATCCACGGTAAACTCCTATCAGCTCTCCTGCACATTAACTATATTTTCATTACAGGGGTCATGAAAATAAAATTTATCTGCAGGAATTTAATTTTTTTTATATTCATTAAACGACGAAGACATTTATTCCTAAGTATTATAGCAAAATATTGCATCTGCATTTTACAAACGGTGCTTGATTTTTTTAAAAGTCTGTAACGACCGTGAAACACCCTAGGGTGGCGTGAGCAATAAAACGTCATGTTAGCTATGGGAAAAGGTTGAACCGATAATCAACTTTATTTAAACTTAAAATAATAAATTGCGAGTGATAAAAGCATCATTTACTGCTGTTCTTAACCATCGTAACCATGCTGCTTGTCCCGCCGCAACTCGTATTCATTGCGGAATGCGGTTGTGGAAGCTCACTGTAAATTATAATTATAATAAAACATAAAGTGAAACAAATAAAATTACATTCCCAAGAGGATTTGAACTTAAAACTTTGCAAAGTCAGTAGGAAGGAAAGACTGGCACGCAGGACCTCTCTACTATCATCACACCCGTTTTGGGCCGCTTATTTTCATGGGTGTAGTTGTAGGACGTTGTACTGGTATTTACGCGGTCGGCACTCGGGTCGCGAGTTCTCCGTTATTTTTTTCTTTACCGCAATCTTTCTCGGCAGTAACTTGACATGCCACTCCCCAAGTACGCAAGGATGATTCGTTTCGCTTATATTTCCAGCCTTCTCATCCCTTTTCTGAGAGTGAATCAGCAGTTTTCTGGTCAAAGCGAGAACACATTCACAGCTCTTCATTAGACAATCATATCGAAACACGACTCGATCGATCAAGGTCGCAAACAATTTCCTCAAACTCTCCGCGACGTAGGGTAGCACAAACAACATACGGTGTCGGCGTACGGCTCGAAACCTAAAAGCTGACTGCAGTGTAATGGGCGATGCTAGAGCTCAATGAGTGTCGGCCATCTTACAAGTATCTGAGCATGATAGCAGTTGGCAGATGTAATCCGTCGACTCGCGTACGTGACGTTATTATGGCACCGCAGTTGGAGAGATATCCGACGCACTAGCTTTGCCCATCAAGTCCAGTCTATGTTGCAATCTTGCGCAGAAAACAAAAATTTCCTATTGGTTACCTATTGTGATGTATTTGTAGAACTGAGAGGGAAGTTCCCCAGGAAACCGAAATCACCTTTTTCACGCTAGCAAATGAATCCAGAAGTATAAAAGAATGAGCATGGGTTGTTTAATGAATGAAAAGGATTTCATATAGCTCAGAATGTCATTAAAATGTTTCATGACCTGCTTAATCAAAAACTCAGTGTTTTCTTTTTCTTGGGCGTCCAAAAGATAGTTTTAAAATAGATGCACAGTGAAATAAGGCAATGATTGGGTAAGGGTAAGAAGGATTTCTTGTTTTCAGAGAAATATATTTTTATAAATATTCACATTCACTAGACTCTTACATTTTTTTTTTTTGTCTATTTTGTAACTTAGTGCAAAGAAGGTATATATTTGTACATGCTCCTGCTACATTTTGACCGTTGGTTTTTTCGATGATCTGCTATTAACTTGTTGTATGATCTTGCATAGGCCTTGCTGTTTTTTCTTTTTCTTCTGCCCTTTCCGCTAGGTCCATCCATTCGTCTGCGGTATCAAATAAATAATTGAAACAGTGAACACCAAGTTAGTTACCAAGTTTTGCAAACCAGAGTTTTCACCCAATGTTGCATGAGATTAAACTGATCTCCAATGCCAATTCTCCAGTCTGTTCAACCTGCAGGCTATTAGTGAACAGGGTCACACCGTGAATGGTTTTTCAAGTTTCAGATTACTCTAGCTCCCCCTAAAGTTGGCTTCACCTGTACAATACACCATCTCTTTTTCCAGGTCTCAGCTTCTCTGCACAATTACCTATGGCTGTGAAGAGCAAAACTTAAAGTGTTTCACGTAGCTGCTATCATGGTGTAAGAAAGCTCGGTGAGTAATGCCATCTCTGGAGGCATCCAACTTTTGTCCCCGTTTCTCATGCACACCATCAGATGACACCACAGTTGTCGAGCCCTTTGAGGGACGTCTGCTACGCGGTAAGTGAACAGTTCAGAGACTGCAGCGAAGCTTTGCACGTGCTAAACTGAATGTGACGGTTAAACATGGCACTTTGAAGCGGCGGTGAAGGGCTTCTGGCCATTGTCATTTTCAGTGTTTTTGCATACATTCTTTGCAAAGCAAGTAAACCGTTTGTGCTGGACTGTTGACATTGCGCATCGGGCTGTGGAATGGTAAACGCTGGAGTGTGTACAGAGCAGGCCTTTGAATTCAAGCACATCATCGGCATGTGAAGTGTTCAGAATGAATCGCAAAGAATGGGGTGCTGAAGTCCTGTTTTGGCGACGGTATGCCACTTGCTTATTAAGTACAACCCAATTCCACAGCAAGCAAAATGCATCTCTCGTTTGCACAATAAACTATACTAAAAAAAAAAAAAAAATGGCACATTATTGGCATACTTTTTGTATAATATAGTATATGTTCCTGGACCATGCTTACACACTAATGCCTGAAAATTGCTTTCGGGTGCCGTGCTACATTTTTCTATCGTGTCATTAAGCCCAAAATGTCTACTAAATCTGTACAATGATGTTGACCTGCTGACAGGACTCATTGAATGTTAGTTCCGTCACACAAACGCAATGAGGCAGAAGCACGGGAGAAATATACTTCAATCTATAAATTTTGTTTATTGAACAGGGAACTAAATTGTTCACGTAATTCAGAAAGTAAACCCCCTTTATTTTAGGGACAAGCAACATTTGACGAACAAATAGTAAGGGTGCACTGCTCTTCCACTTCCAGGTGAAGTAAAACTGAAAGTGTTAAAAATAGTGTGGTTCGCGTGAAGGAAAACACTAACAATCTGCAACTCCTTTTTTTTTTTTTTTTCTTTCCAGCTTTCGTTACGATGCAGGGTAGCCAATGTTCACTTCTCCTAAATTATACATCTGGCCTTTTCCCTGCAATGCAGCTTTCCTGCGGTGTTCTTATGGGTAACCTAACCACATTTATCAACGTAAGTGGGCTACCGATTTCCAGTAAGGACGACCTTCGATCTTCCTGTACGCAGTAGATAAAAATAATTGGTTGGTTAATAAATACGGGTTTCTGTAAGCGTGAATCACTTCTCGAAAACTAGCAGATTCGCGGGTGAGCTTTACTCCGCCAACCGTTCGCTGAGATAGAGCTCAGGAGATGAAAACCATTCACTGACAGCAGCCTGCAACGACGCGGAGTTCGTTAAGACTGAGAAGTGCGAGGTACTAAGATTACACGCGTTTTTCGCTCGTTAAAAACGACATGACAACGACAAAGCACACTGCGAACACCGACGAGCAGCAACTCACGTGCGATTTGCTTGACAAGTTCGGCAAGAGCTTCACGTCAACCGCAGCATTCCTAAGAATTGCGAAAGGAATAACTCGCGACCCTCCTGGGGATTTTAAATAATGCGACTTCGCAGCACAAAATATTAGTATGCCTTCTCAAGATTACAGAAACCACAGCTCAACAACTCAGTTCCACACTGGGAAATTAAATCTTGTCTTTGGATTGACTACAAAATCGACTTTGTGAAACGCCTCTATTTGTACTCCAAAGAGCTTATGTACTCTCGCAGAAAATAAAATATGACTGGTTATTGGTAATACATTATTCGAAATATTTATAAAAATATCAAGTCTACTACGTTTGCTTTCTTTTAATAGTGACGGCTGCCGCGTGGCATTATGTCGTACTAGCCGTTTTAAGCCACAAGTCAATCCGCAAATGTCATCATCTGGCCTGAAATGTTCTGCGTGTTGACTGCGTAGCCGGTGTAAGATATTCGATCGAGTCTCATAATTCCGGCTCATTATGGCAATCACTCTCTACAACCTGTTCGAAGCGGCACTCCTATGCGTGAACGCGATTGCAGTACTTCACGAGAAAAGGTTCCTGGAAAAAAGTGAGCGCGGTCCCGACTGATCGTCCACCGGTGTCTTCGCTTCTGTCGGGATAATCTAGAAATGCCTAATCGTTCTTTGTCTGTACCCATTTGCAGTAAACTGGGGCCGGGAACAGGTATCGCAGGGATTCGAACCCGGTGCCAAGTCGCAGATCATCAACCTGATCCATTCCGTGAGGACCGTCATGAGAAGTGAGTGGCTCATCGCTGTTCGTGGTCGGCGCTACGGAGAGTGGAGGCGATTCGAGTTTTGAGAGCAATCACCTCTGCTTCTATGACAGCTTAGAAGATGAGGCAACTCAAGAAGGTAGGGTGAGGGAAAGGAAGGCCGGGGAGGAGGAAGCAGACGGAACGCTGGAGAGAGGAAGAGGTCTGTTTCTCCTCTCCAGCGTTTCGTCTGCTTCCTCCTACTCGGCCTTCCGTTTCCTCGTCCTGCGTTCTTGAGCTGTAACTTACTATAGATCAACTCAGTTATGTCCCACTGCTCATACGTCATACTTCAGACATGATGACAGTAGTGTTTAAGGGTATGCTTTGAGCATCTTAGAAGCTTGCCTTGTACTTATTTAGGCTTTGAACATGACCGTCACACGAGGAATGAACATGCCTCAGACACTGACTGCAGACTGTCTTTTGTATGATGTGATAGCAGCGTTTCCACGACCACTGCCCATAGACGCCACTTCCATGTACGGTACCACCTCTCCCCCAGAGGTTTGTCTCCCGTCGTTCGACATGCCCCCATTTTGGGTATGGGTGCTATGGTGTCTAGACGGCACTTTGCCATAGTGTCTCTGAAGAATGCAGTTTTGTTTGCGGCGTCTGTACAGTGCTTCGGACAACGGGCGGTGGTATTTGGGGGAAAGTGTGGCTCGCTTCTCGGTGGGAGTTTTCCAACTGAATTGACCTATATTTGTTTTCACCTCAAGAGCCGTAGTAAAAAGATATGGCTTCTCGCGGAATATTACTAATGTTCCTCTTTATGCTGAGAAGTGTGATATATGTAGGTGCATTTTAGATTAGATATGTTACCCTATCGAGACGTCCACGTTTCAAACGCCAAAAGCATTGGTTCTACCTCCGACAACCATATCTTGTAAGAACTACTTCACGCGGCGTATGAACATTGAGCAAAACTTTCTTTTTTCTTGAGGTGAAAACGGGTATAGTAATGTAGGCACCAGCTCCTGTTTCTAACATCATGTCATATAAGGCACTTTGCCGTTCGAGAAGCTGGTTCTGATTGGAGTGCATAGTGGGCAGGGACATAGGCTTCCTTCTACTTCTGTCTACATGCTGTATCTTCCAATCAGAGTGAGCAAGTTCGTCCGCTCCTTGTGCGGAAGGTGCAATGGCGAACTCCGGCGTCCTCTGCTACTCATACTAATAGGCGCACTGAGTCCTGGGTCCTGTACTCCTACTTTGATGAAGCCCCAAGCAGCTGAACGGAGCATACTGTACGGGAGCGCGGCAAGCCAAAAACTATTGTCAAGTCGCACAGTCACTTCCGACCGCACGGTTATGATACAAACACAAAATGTCGTGGGGCACGGGTGGCAAAAGCCCTGCAGATTGTGAGATATTAATAAAGTAAAGGCTCTCAACTTTTGAATTTTTTCTCAGTTTCCCCTTTTTGCTACAAACATCGTCCGAAGGAATCTTGCGCTCAATTGTGAAAATATTCCTATACCTTGTCTCAGATGTTTATGAACTGAAATTTACTGGGGCACGGTGCTATCTGCTTTATTTGGCATTAGGTTAAAGTCGTAATTAGGAAAATGTGATGTAATTGTTAAATCGGCATACAAAGAAAATTCTCCTAATTTATCGCTCTAGTTTTTCTTTGACAAGTATTTATATTTTCATTATATGAAATAAATAGCCTGAAGTCTTACACTTTCTGCTTTGTGTTTGAGCAATAAATTGTGGTTTATTGGCTTAATTTGCATGTCATAGATTCCTTAAGCCAGGGTCGCACTGCTTATACTTCATACAAAAGGTAGTCTGCATACAGATTCGAACACGAGCCACCGCGAGATGCATGCTTCGAATGCCGCATGACAACGAGTTCAAGGAGAAAACTTGACATGCGGCATCCGAACCACAGACATTGCAGTGACTTGTGCTTGCAGACTCTCTTGTATGACAGTGTGACCACGGCTTTAGAGAAGGGTGCCACAGCTTCATACACAAATGTCTAGCTTCTAAAAAAATTTCCCTAGAGAGCCCAAAATTTCTGTAGTACCCCCTTATCTAATCCTAAAAACCCCCCTACAAATTTCATTTCAGTCATATAAGTAAAGTAAAAATGTTGGTGATGCTATGAAGCACATTCTAAGGTTTTAATCTGGAAAGGTTTAGGAGGCTTGCTCCCACCACATAGGTAGAAAGACACCATGGTTGATTGACAGAAGCTTGCAGTGACCACTCTATTTATTGCCCGTACATCCTGCCCAGATTTAAAGAAGGGCAGCATTTTTGAACTGGCTTGTCAACTCAGGAAATCCTCAAACTTTCCAGGGGTATTCCATGGTTCCATCTTGCCGCACGAGAGCAAGTCCTGTTGACATGCCGTCGGCACACCGCCATTGTTCAATAGAGCAGCACGCTAATTCATTTTCACGCCAGATGCACAAACTAACTTTTTCTGTACTACTAATTGATGTTTTGTCTTTCCAATTGGGTCATCTTTACTCTCTGGGCTATGTATGATTCTACTGAAAAAGTGCAGCAATTCGTGTCTCGACAACTTTTCCGTCGGCGCAGCCACTTTTTTTGGGGAAGTGAAGTCACAGGGCGGGAACATGTCACTCGCTCTCCAAGAAGAACTCGGTGCACGAATTCTAGCATCAGTTTCTGGTTGTCTCTTTGTGGTGCTCCCGTCGTCAAGATCAATTGGACTTTGAGCTGCCCTTGAATACGACGAAGTCCACCAATAATATAGACCGTTCCATTAGGGTCATAGCAGAGAGGGTAAAAGAGAAAAAAAATGCACTCCCCCTCTCACCCCGTATGTCGTCCGCTCCGCCGAGTGGGCTGTAGCTAGCGTCCGGCTGGCGTGCAAACTCTTTTTAAAATCGCGTAATTTTGGAACTTTCAAGCGCAGATGCGCAGATTTTGGTATGCCAGATGTCGTGTAATATTATGCTAGATAAAAAGACTCACAGGGTCCAATTGCGCTGTTACCAGCGTGCAAATAAAAAAAAAAAAAAAGGGAAAAAATGTGTCAGATTGACCGGTCTCTTTGGCGAAAAGTAAATCCGGTTGCTGTATTTTTTTTTTTTTTTTTACTATACAAAGTTTGTACTGGTGTAGGCCTTTAGCGACCATGAGTGGAAGTCTGAAATAATAAATAAAACGTGCTCTCCTACCGCAATACACGCAGTAGTTGAGGGTAGTACTGCCGGCTGACTCAACTGCTATTTAAGTAACGGAAAAGATAGGCTAGTTGATCATTTAGCAAAATAGAACAGAGAGCTATAGGCTGATTTTGGAGTAGCCAAACCTATTCTAAGGACGCGAACCAGTTCACAACGGCAGCCACGAGCGAGAGTTCGGTGTTCGGTAGAGCCCGCCGATACAGCCCAAAGATGCAGAACGGCAACCTCCCGGTTTGTCGTCTGCTAGCGGAGTCGGGCGCGTGCCCTCTCTCTCGTTTTACCCCGCCGAACCCGCTGAACTTCCCGAATGTGTGGAGAGGGCGCTGCGGTGGAACAAAATGGTGCTGCCCAGAGAGCGCTAAATGGAATGATGTGTAGGGTGCCTTCATGTGCGCTTCGCATAGGGTGATGCCAACTGCCTGTTTCCCTTTCCCACACCCTCCTCCACCGCCATTTTGTACATCTCATTGTTTCCCCGTGCGCCGGAAAGTGGCCTTTGTGTCCATCGGTCCTCCCATCCGAGGGGGGAAATGCTAATCCTCCCTCCGTGGGTTCCACAACGCTGCTCCGAACTTGTGAGATAAGGTGCTTGTTTCCCGGAGGGTTATAAGCCCCACGGATTATCGCCGAGAACCAAAATGGCTGCTGGTTTGTCGGCGAGTGGTATTACAAAGGGTGGCATCACCCTAGCAAAGCGCACATGAAGGCTCCCTACACCAATACACTTCTGTGCATCCATAAGGAGGCACAAAAAGAGGGAGAGGGATTGAGCACATGTCCCACCAATCTCCAGCAGACGACATTCTCTTTAGTGGGTTAACACTTCGGCGGCGAATTCTTTATTTACTATAGCGCACCTGGTAGTTAGTCGACAAAAGCAGCATACCTTTCGAGGTATTTTGTCTCCCCGTTTTTGAAGGCTGAGTCCTCGATCAGAGTAAAGAACCGAAGAGCCGCAGAAAAGGCGAGGCAGCCATCGCTACAACTGTGCCATGATGTCACTTTTTTACCCACTCTGCACAAAGCAAGCAAAATAGCTCGTCATATTAAAAAGAAAAAATAAAGCTATGCTTGTTGTATTAAGAAAGGAAGAAGTAACTTAAATTTTAAGAAGCTTTTAGATACATCTTCATTTTGGGTTGACCATGAACTCTGCCTGCACTGGATGGATGGATGGATGGATGATGATGGCTGTGCCCTTCATAACGGGCTGTAGCTTGCGCCACCTAGCCTAGAAAGGTCACTCCGTTTTGCTATAAGGCAGTGCAATGTTTAGTTTGTTATGTTCTATAGAATCCCTGAATAGATAAGCATTCACTCTTACATCCCAAATAAATATTTGTTTCTCATCTACACCAAACTTGAAAGAAAGACATAAACCCATAAAACGCGAAATTCTTTCGATTGACATTGAGGTTGTATTATGGTACGGTAAAGGGTAGTCTATAAATGGGGACAGGATAAGGATACAGTCGTAACTCGGCCCCCAGTGCAAGCTTTGTACTTTCAATGATGTATCGGTGCCTCGGAAGCACGCGCAGCCGATGCGCAACAGAAAGCAGCGGGCGCATGCTGGGGGCAGAGCTTCATGCCGTTTAGTTCTCTCTAAATTCAATATAGTTATTATGAAAATAACAAATGAAGACAATGCCAAAAACAGCATTCAAATATACCTGCACTTTTCGGTGCCGTGACGTCACTGGCAGACGGTGTTGCAGGTCGAGAAAACGGAGCATGCAGTACATTTGTTTCGTGCTGCTACGCGAGTGCTGGAGCCAGTTTCCAAAGCATTCATTGGACGCCATCAAACTGCGTGAACTCGGTTGGGAACCAATTGTACTGCCCAAAGAGTGAACTGCTGCCTTCCGCTGGCATCACTTTTTCATTGTTACCAGTGGAGGCTTTCAGTTTGTTTGTTTGTTTTAAAGGTAGAGGCTTTCATTTTTAAAAGGACACACCAGCAAACTAGCTTATACCCCTGTCAGACAGGAAAGTAAATGTCATTTTGATCGAATGTCATTCACCGCTCGTCGAATCAGCCTGCGGTCCTGTCTGCACGTGGCGCGTGCATGCGCCGCGTGGCGTATTTAACACGCGGATTGGCCGAGCTGTAATGTCATTTCGCTTAAATGTCATTTAACATGCCCGTTGGACAGGGGTATTAGCTATGTTTGTTGGTGTGTGTAGACAATTTTGAGGCAAATTGGAGTACCCCTGTAGCGCTCACCACCCACAAAGGAGTTGATGCAGACGTGAGTGCCTAAAAATGCAAGTCTAGCGTTTTTGTTTTTTTTATAGCTTTTCCAGGTTGCTTTTGAGGCTTTGCTTCCCTTTTTGAGCTAATTTGGCTTTTGTGCAGGGGGGACAATCTTTGGAGGTGTTACGATAGTTTACTGCTAGCATTGAGACAAAGGGTGTGCAGTACATTGACTCTCAGCCTCTCTTCACTTGTTTTTCAGTTCCCCTGATCTTCATCAACATCCTCGTCATCATATTCAAGTTACTACTGGGTTGAGGACGACTGCGAGGAGAACGAGAGACGTTTCCTACTTTTGGTGCCCGATGGCCGTGTCAAGCATCCTGTGCATATATTAAATCTCTGTTGTTTTGTACGGAACGGCGGGTCATTTTGTGAGTGCATCTAAACGCTCGAAAGATGCTTTCAAAGCCACTTTACATGGTGATAATCCTTCAACTGCTATTTCAAATTACCTTTAAAGAATATTGTACTAAGAAACGTAGAGCCTTGAAATGCCTACCATAGCACAGTCATGCAAGCTACACCTTGAATTGGGAAGTCAATCCCATTGTCAATTTTATTGCATGAACACCTAAATGGTTGTGGGTTGGGGGAAGTAAATTTCCAGTCTGCTCCTACTCTAGCATTACATATAATTTAAAATAAATGAACAGGGTAAGTACCAAACTGTGTTTTCTTGAAATAAGTTGCTGTAAACGACTTAATTTTCGCGAGGACCTCATTTTTGCGAATTTCGCGAAAAATTGGATCCACGAACAATGCCGGTAAAATGTAAACACATTGGAATTCATATTGAGATCCCACCGCGTCGCGAAAATTAGAACCGGCGAATTATTCCAAAACTTCAGCTTTGACCTAAATCACGAACTATAGAGCCCGCGAAAAATAAGTCGTTCACAGTATCTGGGAAAAAAAAAAAAAACACCAAAAGAAGCAGACCTGAAGAAGTTCAGGTCTGCTTCTTGTTTTCATTTAAATTCAGTACTTGAATTTCTTTCTTTATGGTCTTATGTTCATTCTTGGTTGTTGTGATAATTTTCCTTCGATTTTGCTTTGAACACAGCTTGAATTCAGGTCTGCCTCTACTTATGTGCATGTGTGCGAAATGAAACTTGCACAATCATGCCCATATTCAAACACTTATAAGATTTATTTATCTCGGAGGAAATTCATTCACTCACCATGTCTCTTTTTTACTTACCTCAAATCCTATTTAGCAGCCAAAAAGAATGAAAGGATACTATGCAAGGGTAGTACAAGCACATTTTTCTGAGTGTTGCGATTACTGCACCAAAGGAACTAGCCACATCAAATGTAGCCCTGCTACATTTGACCCAACTTGCACCAACACTGCAGCGAAATCTCGGTGCACTTTACCAATACAGAAGCTAACATTTCAGTCGTCGTACGCTGTCAGTATGTAAGGGGAAATTTTATTTATTTATTCGAGGTACCCTTCTGAGCCCAACAGCACTATGGAAAAGGGGGTGGGCTACATGGTCTAAAAATAATCTACGCACACACATCTATGAAGCAGAACACTTCTGGGAACAATAAAACAAAAAAGTTACTGTACAATGCTACGAGAAGGGAAACACAAACGATGGATTGAATGTTCTCATTGAAAAAGGAAAGCAAATCGTTCATGCGAATCATGACATGTGATTCAAGTAAGCAGTTCCATTGTTGTGTAGTGAGGAAAAAAAGAGTATTTGAAATTTCGAATCCTCCAAAAATATTGTCAAACCTCTAACCTTTTTTTTTTTTTTTTTTTTTTTTGTAGTGGTCTGCTTTGTGTGAGGCGGAATGAGTCTAAAGGAATCCTTCACTGTTCGCGGCCGATTTGTTTTAGTAAGTATTATAAAAGCTTGCGACTTGAATTTTCAGAACTTTCCAGTATCGCTCAGAATAATATGCGATTTTATATGATCTTCGTATCGAATGTAACTCAATAAAGGGACAATGCAAGATTATTCAATCGGAATAATTTTTTTTTTTTTTTTTTTTTTTACTTTAAACGAACTTGCTGGCGCTAGTGGGACTCAAGGATACTCGCGCGCAACGCCTCTGGCCAAAAAAACTCCTTTGTTGCGGTGTAATTTCAAGGACAAATGCGAGCGTTTTCAATCAACCTCTCCTTCGCAAAACTTGATGACGTAACTGGGGGATCGCAGCATCCTCCAGTGACAATATTTGAATACGGCTCATAGATTGGACCTGAGCATTGCGCGGGCGCTCAATTTGGGATCGTGATAAATAGCTCGAGAAGCATTTGGGTAGTGGCCCGTGTCCAATCGCTGCAATGAAGACAATAGCCGAACCATAACAATATCTGGAACTCAGCGCTTGTCCTGTACCTTGCCAAGTTCAGCGTGGCTATAATCAGCATTGGCGGCATGTAATCGGCTTCAGATCACGTAACCGGTTATTTTGCCTGTGTGTTGAGGGGGTGAACGCTGCTCGTTTTTCTTTAATTTTCTCGGCGACTTTGATTGCGTGTGGTAAAAAAACGAACGGCTGTTTCAGCGACCCGTTCTAAGCGGTATTTGCGCAAAGTACAAAAATCATTGCATTGCCCCTTTAATAGTCGGAAGTTTAGGGATATTTCTATTTGTTCGGGTGGTTTATTTGGCTCCTTTGAGTGCGCTTCTCGTCGTGCACTCATGCACTGCAGAGAAGCTGCGTCCGCGGACTTGACTTCGCCAAGTTGGGTATGTCGCTTCGCCGCAGCGCAGCCTCGTGTTACGTAATAAAACTTGCCTCCAGGGTGGAATAATGGCTATACCCTATGTAACGGGCGGCAGCTTGCGCCATCTAGCCTAGAAACCAAAAATATGATTCCTCCTCTCTCCCTTCTAAGCGTCCCCTCTAAATTTTTGTAACTATGTGGGACATCCCCATCTTTAAAGAATCGGGGAACAACTAGAAACATCACTTCTTGCATTCTCCCCCCGGCGAGGGAGTTGCCAACTTGCCTCTGTGATACCTATTCGGCGTTACCCCAACACTGGGTTCACTAGGAAACAGGGTTGAGACTGGGCCGGAGCCACGTGGGAGGCAGCCCAAATTTTACCCAGCTGTGTTAGTTAGTTTTACTTCATTGCATTTTCACTGGATAATTTCTACCATTCTACTAACCTCTCTTCGTAACTGTAACTAGGGGTGTCGCGAACTTTTGTCGAACCGGATTTTTAGGTCGAACTTTCGAGGTTCGACCGGGTCGAACCAGTGCGACGAACCTTCGAACTTTGCACCAAATTCGACCGGTTCGACTTTGCGGACAGTGTGGCCAGTCCTTGATACAAGCATGTCTAGGTTTGGAGAATTTATTTTTATGCAAAGGGTGATTTTATTTTATGAACAGTTGCAATTAAAAGAAACCAATTCTAATCACTAAAGAAGTTAATAACTTAAGTTTTTGTACTGTATTAACTGAAATAACTAATCAGCGGTGCCCTTAATTTATTCTTTAGCCATCACCATCCAATCCGAAGCCAACTGGCCAGCCTGTCGCGCATGCGCACACGAGTCGAACCTCAATACAAGGTTCGTCGAAATTTTCACGAAAAGTTCGAAAAAGTCGAACCTGGTCGAACTCGAACCTCGGCCGGTTCGCGACACCCCTAACTGTAACCCTTTTCTCTTCCGTCCTTCCAACGTTGCCAGCCAAACCCAGCACCCCCACCAGATCCGTTACCCCTTCAGGAAGGACAGGACAAAGCCCCATAATCTTCAAAACAAAAAGTTTTAGCATCTCATTCATACTATGGCATACGGCACATAATGTGTCTATCTCTTGAAATTTAGCCCTATAGTCCTTAACACTCCCGTTCTCGCCTCGGACAGTAAATAACTTCCACATTAATTATCAAACACCTTTTACTTTCTTGTATCCTGTTTTTTGTGACCTGCATATTGTTAAAGTTGATTTTTCTTGCATTCTTCCCTCCAACATTTTCCTTTCTGCTTCTTTCACTCCCTCTTTCACTGAGCTTTTCTGCTCAGCCCGAACACAAGTGTGCGGATATTTTAATGTCAACTTTTGGGTTCGGTTTGTAGATTTTGTGTTTAAACTTTTCATGTATAAATACTTGAATATTTTCTGCGTCCAACGGGTATCTCCATTTCAGTTAACCTTACTTCAAAATCCGATTTATTTCCTCTCCACTCTCGGGGAACGACCAGCCTATGTCTATGTGCACATGCCCCTCGCTGCGATAAGAGGTTTGGCAATAACACATTATCTGAAAATATAATTGTTTTAGCCTTTCTTGACTGCACATCGAAAGTTAGCCCACCCCTTATTCTCATCAAGTTTCCTCTCAGTTTTAGGTGCGCTATTTCTCGGGATATTACGGTAATCAAATCTGCATCTAAGCTATTCTCGGGGGCAACTTTTCTTGGCATTTTCGAGGAGAGGAGGAGAGAGCGCGCACAGCTTTGGTCCGCGCTCAAAAAGGGAGAGGGCACGCGTGCCCGCACCTTTGACTGCATTGCCAAGAAAAGTTGTCCCCGAGTATATACCCTTTCAGCTGACCCCGTTGTTTTTCCTGATCCACTATACCAGGGGTCTCAAACGCGCGGTCCGCGAGCCGCATGCGGCCCGCGACTTGCTTGGACGCGGCCCGCAGGCAACCGGCTACGAGTTTCGATTCCAATGTCTCGAGCGCTAGAAATGGCATCTGCCTTCGTGATCTCATCTCGCCGATTCATTTTCACTCGAAAAATCGCTCCGCTCTTTTAATGTATTCACATAGTTTTTACTTATCTGTGTTCATTTGCCCTTTGTTTCGCTTTAATCTTTGCTTCTCAACTTTATGTAATGTACAACAATTCCGCTACAAGGCTATACAAGCGCGAGCTCTTTGTTGAAGGACGCTTCTCGGCTGCGCGAACTCTCGATCTGCAGGAGCAACTGCCGAAGATAAAGCAACGAGCTCGGGATTCTCGCCTTAAAAAAACACCACCATTAAAAGACAAGTTTGGGTGTTGTCATAGAAATCGTCAGAAAAACAAGAATTGTCAAATAATTGATTGTTTTTTAGAGACATTTTGAGCTTTGTTAATTTCTGAGTGAATTGAGCAAAAGGAACGACAGTGTACTTGCTCTCTCGTTCTATCAAAAGTGCGAGCACTTTGGCGGGGCGGTTTTATTTTAACCATTGTTATCCCATCAGGTCAGGGCCCAAAGTAATGATATAAACAAATCAAATCTAAAGATGGTACTTTCAAAACTGAGTTTACAAAAAGCATAGAGCATGAGGTCTCTTCCCTTTTGAATCTTTCGACTCCCCCCCCCCGTCTAACGTTGGCCTTCCTATAGTGTCGGCTATCTGGCCCACACGCTCAAATGAGTC